AACTAGAAATCCCACAATTAAAAAATACTGTTGACAACATAAAGCTTTTCAGTAAGGCTAACAACATTTCTCGTATTTGCATGTTTTTGCCGGATTTTGGCTAAAGTCAAATTCAAATCAAACTCAGAGGGGTTTACATATTCTTACTCAGATGTGAATCTCACAATATTCAGGGTGCCTTACTTCATCTTAAAAATGAGTGGCCTAGTTAGGATTTCAGCCTTCTAAACCTGTACCAAGTAAACTTCAAAGGTCTTCTCATTTGTCTAACAGATGCAAAAATAATGCAACCTAGAACTTCATTCCGTGGAGAAGGCAACCTTAAAGTGAAGGATTCTTATATTGCTATATCAGGAATTCTTATAAGGTGCATTCTGCTTCCTGCCTACTCAAGGGAGCCTTTAATACTTCAGCCATCCTACAATTGGACAGGTCTACTAATCCAGAAATATGCTTCCTCTGAGAGCTTGGGGAAAATGGTGAACTGAACAATGAAAATAATAGAGAAGTTGGCACCCTATAGTATTTCTTCACTCCCATGATTCTACTAAATTGTGCTTTTTTGGCCAGCGTGTATCTATTCCAGGTGCGACATAACATACCTGCCAACCCTTTCAATAAATTATGTCAGCAACTGAGAGTCCATTCACTTAAATTATCTCAGCCTAGAACTCTGCGGTTAAAATTCCACTGCTGCATTCCACAGCCAATCTTGAACCATTATGAGTGTGTCTAGTCCATTAGCATACTTTATAATGGGGCTGTGAAATGATGCAGCTATTAATTAATTCTTTGAAATATTAACTTGCTTTTAAAGAAAGTGCAATGAAGAAGTGTCAGCAATATTTATGGCAAAACACAGCAGGAAATCAAGACGGGCCCTTGAATTTCCAAGGCAAATCAACAATGGAGCAGGAGCAGATTTTGAAAAGAGACAAGAAATGCCTGAAAGCATCTTCTTCCAAGCAAAAGGTAAAGTGACTGGAGCCAGTGGTGAAGCTCAGGCCCAAATGACCACACAGTTAGCAGTAAATGATGGGGGCTTACCTAACCTCCAATCACTGGTGTCACTGTGACCTATCAGGGCAGGGCGAGACATCAGAGAGTTTAGAATGTTGAAAATGCACTAGCAGGGGTGCCAGATGGGCTCTGCCAGTGCATTTGCACCATGCTGACCTCCTTGTGAGAGCTGGACCATAAAGAAGGCTGATCGTGGAAGAATTGATGCTTTTGAATTATGGTGCTGGAGGAGACTCTTGAGAGTCCCATGGACTGCAAGAAGATCAAACCTATCCATTCTTAAGGAAATCAGCCCTGAGTGCTCACTGGAAGGACAGATCCTGAAGCTGAGGCTCCAGTACTTTGGCCACCTCATGAGAAGAGAAGACTCCCTGGAAAAGACCCTGATGTTGGGAAAGATGGAGGGCACAAGGAGAAGGGGACGACAGAGGACGAGATGGTTGGACAGTCTTCTCGAAGCTACTAACATGAGTTTGACCAAACTGTGGGAGGCAGTGGAAGACAGGAGTGCCTGGCGTGCTCTGGTCCATGGGATCACAAAGAGTCGGACATGACTAAACGACTAAACAACAACAACCTCATTGCCTCTCCCTGCTGGTAAGCTGCAGTGATGGTTGCTGTTGTGTCAGGGGCTGATCTGGATCAGAAGATTGGGGAATGCAGTCGCAGGGAGATCAGCTCCTAACAGAAGAGGAGGGGAAATACCCCCCCCCCTTTCCAGCATTTCCAGAAGAAGAGAGACAGGCAGAGGCAGAAGCTGCACAGTTGAGAGAGGAGCTAGCCAGCTTTGAGATAGTAGCTAGGCAACCAGAATGGAGGGAGCAGCTGGGCAATACATCAATCAAGAGTAGGGGAACCCCCTTCTTCTCTCTGAACTCAGAGGTCCGAGCATGTCAGAGAACAAAGGAGATGCAAAGAAGGAGGGATATCCCATTGGCGTGTTTCTTGCTGCTGAAGTAGGGAGGAGTTAGAGTGGGCAACTGCTATCCTTGCAGAGAGTTGCCTGTCTGTGCTCGCAAAATGATACTGTAATAAAAAGACTATAAATCTCTTCCATGTGACAGCCCTTAAGATATTTGAAGATGGCTATCAGATCTCTTCTCAGTCTCCTCTTTTCCAGGTTAAACATACCCAATTCCTTCAACATCCTTCTTAAATTTTGGTGCCCAGAATTGGACACAGTATTCCAGGTGTGGACCAGTGCCTGGTCAGCTCAGCTGGTTAAAACATAACACTAATAGGGCCATGGTTGCATGTTGGATCCTTATGGTGGGGTACTGGGGTATTTCTGCATTGCAGGGGGTTGGACTGGATGATCCTTGGGGTCCCTTCCAACTCTACAGTTCTACCTGCACAATTTATATCTGAATTGTTTCACAGTCATCTCGTCTGTGCTGCGCCAGCATGGAATCTTTAGCTGCTGACATTGACTACACTTGTCGACCTGGGTATGGTGTGCCCCTTTAAAGAATTTCCTCCCACTTGGGAGGCTTCCGTTGGCTTGGTTCTAAGAATGCGCACACACTCAGATGGTCACAGTTTCTGTTTTATATTCACAGCTTTCCCTAAGCGAAGGCTTAGATTCTGCAGCTCCGAGGCTCTTTCTTCTAACTCTTTGCTGTATCACTTCCTAATTTTTTCCAGTCCTTTTCCTTATTAAGATAATAATATGGATAAGAGTAATAGTAACAATTATATTAGCACCATCATGCCACCTGCTAGCACAACTGAACAACAAGGGGTCATTTCTCCACCTCGCACGCATAAGGGCATGTCAAGTGGCGCTCCTAGCTGAGCCGTGCAGGTGGCTAAAAAGATTAAGAAGAGGGTGCTCTCTTCGGGGAGGAAGTGTTTCTGCTGGAGGCAAGAAGGCAACATCGGTTGGCTCTCCCACCGGATCTGGAAGCCTTGCAACCACCCTCAAGTGGTCAGCTCTCTCCTACAGACGTCGGGTGAGTCCTTCCTTTCCCTCATCCCCTGATTATTCCTCTTCTAACAAATATTCCTCTTCTCGGTCGCTAGGGAAGGGACAACAGGGACTATTGCCCATTTAAGGCAGCGTGTGGAGCAGGCCAAGGTGCTCATGGCAAAATCTTGTTCTCCCCATCGCCATTCTCAGATGTTAGGCACAGAGGTGGGTCTCCCTCCTCTAGTTTTTCTGACAGTTCCTCGTGCCCTGAATCACACATGACACAGCGCAGGAAGAAGAGATCCTGCTGAACTAGGAAACACGGACATGAGTCCAGGAGAGATCCTTTGGATTCATTGGAGTCCCCAGGTATGTCTGCTTATTCAGATAGCAACTGAGAAGATCGCCTTAAGAGGTATTGGGTTACAACATTTAAGTAACCCAGCCTCCCAAAGTGGGTCTGGAGATGTAGAAACAAGAGTCATTGGCGTGAGCACATCCTCAATGGCGTCTCTGTTGTGCCTCATTCCTTTTTTATTATTGATGATTTTCAGTTTTATACATTTCAATAATTTTACAATTATTTTAACATTTCAAAACTCAACTTCCTTCCCCCTCTTTCTTTGATTCCTTACATTGGTGCTTTATATTTTCTGCATATTCCAAATTAATATACTTGTTTATTCATCTATTTTAAATATATACTCTTATAAAACTGCAGGTTATTACAATAATCATGCCCATGTTCTTATCTGTTTACAGTTTATTTCTAAATATTCAATAAACCATTTCTATTCTTTTATAAAAAGTTTGTTTTCTTATTTTTCTGGTAAGTTTTGCCAATTCTGCATATTCCATAAGTTTTTATATCCATTCTTCTTTCACTGGGATGTATTCTTCTTTCCATTTTTGGGTAGGTAACATTCTTGCCGCTGTAGTCGCATACATGAATAAATTTCTATACAGTTTGGGTAGTTCTGTCCCTATCATTCCCAAAAGGAAAGCCTATGGTTTTTATTTTATTTTTTAAAACCTTATTTTAAGCATCTTTTTCAATTTATCATTTCCCAGTAAACTTTAACCTTTCTACAAGACAACCATATAAGATAGAAAGAACCTTTTTCTCTTTATACTTCCAACACTTATTTGATTTTGATTTATACATTTTTGCCATTTACTTGGTGTTAGGTACCATCAATATAACGTTTTCATATAATTTTATTTTAAACCATAGCATGCTGTACGTTTTATATCCATATTCCACAATCATTCCCATGCTTCTATATCTATATTATAACCAATATCTGTTGTCCAACATATCACTGAGGATTTTACTTGCTCATCCTTTGTCTCCCATTCCAATATTATCTTATACATTTAAGACAGCACTTTTACATTACATTCCAACAGATCTCTCTCCAGTTGTGATATTTGTTCCGCAAACTCTCGTATCCATGTTGATAATTTTCCTGATAATTCCTTAAATTATTTTAATTGATACCCTCTTCCCTCTTGTTTTAATAAAATTTTAATAAGTTGTCCACCCTTCTATCATATTATTTTTCTTTACTGCTATAGCTTCCAACGGTGAGAGCCAAAGTGGTGTTTTTGCCTCTAATAGATTTGTGTATTTATCCCATAATCTGCACAATTTTTTCCTCATTACATGATTTATAAATCCTTTATGTACTTTCACCTTTTCATACCATAAATAAGCGTGCCAACCGAAAACAATATCATTGGCTGTTGTGCCTCATTGCAAGGAAGCACAAAGCCTGGTTAAGTGCCAAGACCCCTAGAACCTCGCACCCCTCAACAGACATTGGAGTGGCCTCTCACAATATCGTTCCAGAATGTGCCTATGGGATAGGCCTGCTTTAAAATGCACAAACTGAATGGAATTTCTTGCCCCACTCAGGATATCCTTCCATGCTCACAATGGTTGGAAAAATCACTTCCAAGGATAAAATCAAGTAGCATGCTTGTACTAGGACCTTTATTAGAATCAAAGAAAAATGTATCCAAGACACAAGGAGGTGTAACTTATTTATTTATTTATTTATTTATTTATTTATTTGTATATTTGGGATTGTGGGGAAGGGGGAAGGGGGTCTTTTTGGAGGGGAGCTGGACTGGAGATGCTGGCCTTCTTCTTCCCACAGTTTTCTGCCTGGAAGAAAAAAGAAAAATTCTTATTTTTTCATTCACTATGCATTTATTATTCCATTGATATCCTATCCCCTTTTCCCTGCAAGGATCTCAGGGTGGCTTACGTGAGTCTCCTCCCCTCATCCCATCCTCACAACAGCTCTGTGAGGTAGGCCTAGAGGCAGTGAGCACCCAAGGCCACCCATTCAGTTCTATGGGTGAGGGGGGATTTGAACCCTGGTCCCGCAGTCCTAGTCCAGCAGTCTAACTTGGGTTGCCAACCCTTTGAACCCATGGGCACACCTGTAAATCTGAAAGACTGCAGTGGGCACTACACCGTAATGGAAAAGGGCAGAAGTAAAGAGAAATGGTTCTCTCTCTCCTTCAAAAGGGATGTCCCTGAAGTCTTCGTGAATCAGTGACCGGCCTCCTTCCTTCCTCCCCAGCAAGCCAGATTCTCTCTGGCCTCACTGTTCTTCATTAACACAGGTGATCTCTTACCTTGGTCTGGGGATTATCCATCCCCTGAGCCTTGAAGGGTTGAACATGGATTAATCTGATTTTCACAACCACTTCCCTTTTATGGGTCACAATTACTAAATCGTCCTCCTCTTTATAGACCAGGGCATGGTTTTTTGGCCTGCACAGCCTTTGAAATCTAGGGAAGGAAAGAGAGAAGGTCAGGAAATGGATTATAGTTATTTCCTTGATACTCTCTATCTCTGCGCTGCATTGGGGGCACCTGGCAGCAAGGATATGGACCCACGGAAAACGGCATCTTGTCAAAAGACCCTCCAAAGCTGGGAGATGCCCTTCTTGTGATATGCCCACAAGGGAGAATGCAAGTCCTTTCCCTCAAAGCATCTAAGGCGGCCCTGAGAACAATCTTTTAAAAATAATCTAAACAGTGCTTTTTCTGGGGGGTACTCAAGGATAGGACACGGGTGGCACTGTGGGTTAAACCACAGAGCCTAGGGCTTGCCGATCAGAAGGTCAGCGGTTCGAATCCCCACCACGGGGTGACCTCCCGTTGCTCGGTCCCTGCTCCTGCCAACCTAGCAGTTCGAAAGCACGTCAAAGTGCAAGTAGATTTTTTCTTCTTCAAAGTGCAAGTAGATAAATAGGTACCGCTCCGGCGGGAAGGTAAACGGCGTTTCCGTGCGCTGCTCTGGTTCGCCAGAAGCGGCTCAGTCATGCTGGCCACATGACCCGGAAGCTGGACGCTGGCTCCCTCGGCCAATAAAGCGAGATGAGCGCCGCAACCCCAGAGTCGGCCACGACTGGACCTAATGGTCAGGGGTCACTTTACCTTTACCTTACTCAAGGATAGGTAGTACCGACACCTCCTCGCCCCCCATGCTAAAAGTGTGGCTCTTATTGTAGTTACTTCATGGTGAGTACTGGCATCTTTTTTTCTTAAAAAGAGGGGAGAAAGCACTGAATCTAACCATGACATTCTTCCCACTGTTTCTAAATCTTGAGAAATAGCAAAAGATGTAGGAAGAATTAGGAATCCTACTTACACCTGAGAGGAAGAAATTTTCTTCAAAGCGCTGGAAAACATACTTGCTTTCTCCTCTTGCCTGAAGTAACCTCAAATAGTTGCTCTTCCCAAAGTCCCCAGCCAAGTCACTCAGCAGGGGGATGGGTCACAACCGAGGACATGACACCATTACTTTAGTTACCTTGCTTAACAATGGGCATAGCTCCCCTTAATATTCATTTTTTAAATATATATTTTAGTGGGTTAAGCAGTATTATTTAATAGATTGAAAAAACTTCTAGACCCCTTTTCATGCAGCACAGTGATTTTCTGGAAAGGACAGGAAAGGCCACACAAACGCACACAATTTCTTTCTTTCTGTAAAATAATTTTTATTAATTTTCAAATACAAAAATCCAATATGTGCCATATTATCATAATACCAATACCAATTCACAAACAAATCAATTACATAGCCAATTATAAATTTGATGTGGCTTCCCATGTGTTGTACTTCAAGGTCTAGATTCCCTCCAGACTATTGCTCAAACCAAATACAATCCATTCTTGATAAAAATCCTTATACCACAGTTACAATAATTAACTTCAATTCACATTAACACATATAATAATTTGTAATTTCACAAGTGAAGTTCTCCTTTCTTCTTCCTGTGTGAGGTTTTACTTTCCATCAATCGTTCCTTTCATTCTTTCTCAAATATTATGTCCATATTAATTATTCCTGATTTCCTTTGTGCATTATGGCTCTGTTGACTTGGAGTTACTCTGGAGAGGTCTCTCTCTTTGTTCTCAACTCTTCTGATGCAGCTGTAAGATTCCACTTTCGATTTCAAGCAGGGAGCCCTCCAACATCCTGCCAAGGCCCTGGCGGGCCTCTTAGTTCTCCCCTCCATGTCCAGTCGAAGCAATTAATTATAATTATTCATAGAAGAGTGATCTGGGGCCCTGCCAGAGCCCCGACGAGTCTTCAAATTCCAGTCCCTTCTCCCCTCCATGAGGGGGCAAGTAAAAAAGAATTAAGTCTGCAGAGGCTCCAATCCCTTTTAATAATTATTCCAAACATTAATATTTTCCTCATACGGTCCTGTTTTTCATTATAATTCATACCTGTACTCCCATCTCCTTTCTTCTTCACTTGCTTTATTTATTTATTTTTTGCATTCTCGGTGTGGGGGGGGGGCGTTGCCAAGTCATTTATGTAACAAATGATTTATAATGAAGTGATTGCCTCCCCCTCCCCAACACACACCATCTTGTTGCTCGAATGAAGTCTTCTTCCAATTTAAACCTGTATGACCTTGTGGCTGTTTCAATTCGGCAGTCCTTAATCTTTCTTCCCCCAATTTTTTTTTAATTGGTTTTCCAAATTTATAACAAACATAAAAGAAAAACATTACAATATTAAAAAGACAAACAAACAATCATGTATCCTAACTGTTAGAATTCCAGTTTAATTGTCATTGTTGAATGACTCCCTCGAATCCCCCCTGAGTGTCCATAGAACTCATTGTAGCAGTTTTCCAATATCCACTTTCAAATAAAATTAACTTATTCAATTAACATCTTTCTTTCTTTTCATAATATCTTCAATCCAGAATCTTGTACAATTCAACATATTTTACTCCTAGGCCAATTTGGTACTTACAAGTAGTTCTACTTATGTTATATTAGAATGTCTAGCTAGATAGTCCTTGGATTTCATCCATTCTTCTTGATGCTCCTCCTCTTTCTGTTCACGGATTCTTCCAGTCAGGTCGACCAGCTCCAAAAAGTCCATCATCTTCATCTGGCATTCCTCCACTGTTGGTATTTCTTGTAGTTTCCAGTTTTTGGCTCACAAAATTCCTGCTGCAGTTGTGGCATACAAAAACAATCTAATATCTTTTCTGGGCAATTCCAAACCTAGAGAGCAGTCCTTAATCTTGTTCCATCATTACCGACACATGTCTGTGAATTAATCCTAATTAATATCTTAATGAACAGAAGAACTGCTGCTCTTAATGGCAGCATTGGAGGGTTACCAAGAAGCAAAGTGCTTTTGCGCTCAGCGTCTCGCTACCTCTTACCTCCATGTTGGAATGAAAGGCAGGTATCAAGACTATCTCCTCGGGGACTGTGAGGGGAACTTGCAAAGATAATTACCCTCAAATCATCCTTGTTTGTCTTCGCTAATGGTCTCCACTATTGTGGGAGCTGTGCCATTAAGGAATCCGGAAACCGGAAGTCAGAAACTGTGTTTTCTAAAGATGAGCTGAAAATTACAAAGAATTCCCCCCCCCCCAACTATTTATTGGGTGGGTGGGGAACATGTGAGGGGGGGGATATATGCCACTTATCTTACTTACAAAGAGGCCAAAGATTCCCCCCCAAAAAGGATAGTTTTTTTGTTTTTACTTAAAAATAAATGAATCATTGAATGTCTTACCAGCTGCACTCTCCAGAATAAGTTAGGGTCAGTTCCATGTTACATCATATCACATGTTGTGTCCAAGACATTTCAGAAAGTGCAGCTGACAGAGAACCACAGAGAGAACATTACGCTAATGTGAGTGGTTAAAAAAACCCACAAGGAAAATAAAAGGAAAACCATAGATCACGCCATAAAGTAAAGTAATGTAAGTGCCCTTCCTCACCTGGAATTTTTGGAGAAGTTTGGCCCCTTTTTGCGCAGGCCCCGGGCCCTCTATTGCAGGCCAGAATGTCCTCCTGCCACCAAATTGGCCAGTAGTGGCAGGAATTGGTAGGTGTTTCTCTGGGTGCGGTGCCAACTGGCCAATAGCAGTGGATGGCTCTGTGCCCAGGACTGGGATAAATGACCAGGCTGCTGGGCCTTATTTCTCCCCTCCACAAGAAAGTAGCAGAAAATCACCTTCCATTTTCATTGAGGGAATAAAAGTTTTGCTCAACTGGGTGATGATTTCGGCCCCATCTGACTGTTTTGCTCAATGCACAAGCACCCATTTTTGTTGTATTCAGCAATTGTGTCTCAGGTTTGTTTGTTTTTTAGCAGTATTTCTTCCTTTAGAATAATTTCCCTTGACATCTCTTTCCTTATCATTTAAGGAAGATTTCTGCTGACAGCACATCTCTTTAATTGAAGGCATGTCCTTTAAAGGACTAAATACTCATCTTTCTAGAATAGGCCATGCTTTCCAGTTTAAAGGAAAACTGGACCATTGTTTGAAAAAATAATTTATACCTTTCAATTTGCCAATTTTTATTTTTTGATGTGATTCGGTTGCTGGCATCCTTTGCTGAGCATCCTGGGAATAGCTAACAGGTAGAATCTGATAAACAAGCTCTAGAAATTATTGCATGTTTCTTTAAAAGGAGATCATGATCTTTGCCCATATTTTTTCTGCTGTTATCATCTTGCCACAATCGTAAAGCAAACATGGTAAGAATAGAAGGCAGTAACTAATTGATACTTCGGGTCTAGTATCCTGGTGTGAACAGGATTAAGGAAATGACCTGATGATATCAGAGTGTAATTTCTAAAATTAAGTTTGGCTAATTAAATTTCCAAATGCCTTTTAAGTGATGTGTAAGCTCCAAGTGTGCTCAGGAGGGATGCGGAAAAAATGAATCAATTAAGCAAAAGAGTAAGTACAATGATATCAATTAGAATGAGGTTTCTTGCTAGATAACTCTGAAAAATGAAAGGATAAAACTTTAGGAGTCACTTACATGCAAGATGTATTTCAGGCTTCTTTTATTAACTGGGCTAGTACAAGGGACTTGTGCACCCAGCTTCTGAAGATTGCCAATGCTCTCTATGGCCAACACTGGATTTGTTGTTGCCAAAACCAAAGCTTCAAACTATGGCACCTTTCCTAGGACAGACAATCAACATTTACTTCTCTGATCATTTAGGTTCATGCAATGCAACAAACATTTTCTGATCTTGCCAGTCCTCCTTTTTAAAGTTGTTAAAGTCTGGCATAATCAAAAACAGTGAACAGATTTTAAGCAGCACAGTGTTAGGTTTTGCCTAGCAGGACCTGGACTCAAATCCCCAGTTAGCCACCAAGCTCGTTGAGTGACTCTGGGCCACTTAATATCTCTCAACACACAATTTTGTTGAGTTGGCATCTGATAAACTCCATGTATAACCCTTGCAGTCTGGACAAGATACACAGTGTTACACGGCACCCCAATCTATAAGCAGTTCCAGGTGTGCTTATCCAGATTCTGTATTTTCTTTTGGAAAATGAGACACAGTGGAGACTGCAGTGTCTTTATGATATATGGTTCATTTGCACACATAGACAACCTGAGCCTACGATGTATAGGTTCACAGCATTCATACTATAGGTGCCATCCAGATGTTGTTGAATTACAGCTCCCATAAACCTCTGTTGGCCTAGACAATGGTCAGAAATGGTGGGAGCTGCAACCGAGCAACATATAGCGGGAACCTCCTTGGTTACCCCGATACAGAGGAATCTGCATTGCATGGTCATGTCTATACAGTTGTGCGATATAAGGGAATCGGCCATAATAACCATCAGGCATCAGTGACCTCTTTTCCGATTCTGTATTTAACACTTAAAAAATAATAAACACCCATGCCATGCCCCCAATTATTCCCTATTTAGTGCCTAATTTCTAGAAAATATTGCCAAGCCTCAAGTCTCTCTAGAAGTATTCCCCTCTGATCTGTCACAATCTCTGATGTGTGGAAAGTTTCTATAGTTACCCATTGGTGCAGAAATGCACTTTATAACTGCTCAGTGGCACATAATCTATTTTTACTTCGTATGCGAGTAAGAAACAGGCTATATGTGAGTGAGAAACAGACTCTGAGCCCTGACGGAAATTAAACTTTGTTCCTGAATTTTCCAATGATTTTTTTACCATTGATGCATTTAAATAATTTGCCAGATTAATAGATGGCAATCATATGCATTGAGATGTTGAGTTATCACTAGACATTCTTTAGAAACCATTCTATTAAACGCATTCAATTTCTCCTTGAGAAATTCAAGGAGAATGTCTACTGGCATGTGATGGACCCTACAAGTGTGAGTAGTTATTTACCCCATTGAGACTGTTTGGCCAGTATAATCATTCTGAGATGTGGAGGTAATATCTTCTAGCCTGCTAAAAATGAGCTGTGTGCCCAGAAT